TAATTCTACAACACAGTAAGAATTTAAATGTTTAATTCTAAATATTTAATTCTACAACACAGTAAGAACTAAAATTGCACAAAAATATGTTGAAAAACAGATTTCAATTCAAATAATATAATTCATCATTACCCTGATGATGCCTTGAATTTCCGTTTTCATAGTTTTCGCGACAAAATAGATTGGTCAAAACGACATTAAGATTAAATCTGTAGAATTAATGGTTCAAGAGAGAAGTCAACAAGTTTCAGTATCGTCAAAGTAAGCTTTTATTAGTCTATAGACTATCTATGTAGGCACAAACTATCCTTAAGAGCGTCAAAGTAACATCTCGATTCAAGAGAAGCTGATTTTTAACGTTAAATTAGACACGAACGAAGCAACTTCTCATGAAAGAGAGAGAGAGTGAGAGAGAGAGAGTGAGAGAGAGAAAGAAAGAGAAAGGAACTCTTTTCCCTAAGACGATTGCAACACAAACAGCGAATACATTTCTGTCTCATGCACGTACAAATCACGAATATTCTGATCGTCCTCGGCGGAGAAGATTCGTTCCCGAAGGACGAGGCAGGCAACTGGAAAGTTAAATAGAAACCCGTAATAACGAACTCGGGACGTGCCTCAATTGCAGACGAACTATTTTCATATTTATCCTTTTCGCCGTAACGATACGCCAATGCCAAGGAGCTCGTCTTTGTCGTCAATTAGTAGAACTCGAAACACAAACGCAGGAGCGAATTGCACAGTTTTTTTTTAACGATTCCGAAAGAAGATGAGAGAAGTCATTACGAGAGAACCGTCGCGCATAATGGCGTATTGATAAGAACTGTCCTTTAAGGAGCGCCCGCTTGCCCATCGGACAGGCTACATTAATAAGACACAAGCCTCCGCAACAATTAATAGATTAAAACATTTCTTTTCGCGAAAAATTTCTTTTCCTCTTCTCTCTCTCTCTCTCTCTCTCTCTCCGTTCACTCTCGGAGATTCAGGATTCGCGCGTCCTTTCGCGGGCGAGAAAGAATATCCAACGTATCCCACATTCTGCGAATATACATTTTTCAGTGCGCGACAACGAACTTCTGTGCATTTCCGGCGAGGACCTTCGGTACGAAGATTCCCTCAGAGATTCAAAAGGGCACACGCGGAGCCCGTAGCTCTTGCGCGTTCGAAGGGGTTAATATTAAGGGCGCATTTGTACGTGTCGCCTTCTCCGCCCCTCTCATCCTTGCGGTATCCTCCCGGACCATCGGTGACCCGATTTTCGCCGATAACGACGCCGTGTAGAAACGCCTGCATAATTCAGCGTCGCGTGAAACGTCCTTTCGGGCTGATATAAACCGCCATCACCGCTCTGCCCTTCAACACGCTCCGAGGGTCAAAATGAACGTCGCACTCACCATGTAATTTCGTCGACATACATACAAATATAGGGCACTGATGGGGAAATTTGTTGTGTATATGGGTGAGTCTCTTTAAAAATTTTAGAGGAGAGTCTTTAAAGATAAATAAGTGTTACTTTAATAGCAGGCTCGGGAAAAGATCTCTTCGACGACGCTGAGTAAAACGTTAAGTCGAGCAGGAGGTAACTTTCTAAAGTAGTTGACGAAATTACACCGAACAATTTCTAATTCACATAATGACACGTCATCAGGTTCGCCAGGAATTGCTTAAAAATATATCGAATATAGCGCGTCGGTTTGATAATCCGCTGGTGGGAAAAGAGAAAAAAACAACGAACATGTTCACACCGCGGGTTAGTTAACGCAGAAAACAGAGGTGCCGTATATTTTATTAAACCACGTTGAATACTGTAATTTATAAATCGAGCGTGTTTCTCACGCCGGCTTTAAATCGCCATTTTAATTTCCATTCAAATTCGAACGGATTTTACCGGCTCGCGCACTCACGATTTGCGGTTCGCGTCGGGCGTTTTATCACGGTGGAAACGGCACGTCGGAGAGTGTTGCACCATCCCCACGATTTCCTTCTCTTGTGTTGCATAAACAAATTGCGTCTTGCATCGGGAACACTTCTCTTTATCTTTCTCCTAGCTGGGGTTATCATTAGCTCTCTGTCGTTAGCTTCTCTCTAAAGAGAGAGAGAAAGAGAGAGAGAGCTGGCGCCTTTGTAAGCCGAAGGAATATCAAAACCAAGGGACGAAAAGGTGGAAATAACGGCGAACAATTTATAATTTTTCCATTTTTTTTTTCTTCTAAGCGTTCAAGGAAATATATAATGTGAAGGTCCGTGAGAACGACGAGTGCGGACTATTGAAAATATTGAATAAATTGAAATATTAGTCTCCAAATTCTTTAAAGCGGAATCTCACTCAAAACGAATGAAAAACGGCAATATCTTCACTCGAAGCGATAGTGAAAACACTGCCACTCGAAATCGCAAGAGTGAACGCTTCACTCTAGCTTAAAATGTATTTTGATCCCATATGAGCGGATGTTTCAATCGATTCGAGTGAATGTGTTTCTGCGTCCGTGAAGCGCATCGGAATTTCTCTTCAATTTCGAGTGAAAATATTCACTCGGTCATTCCGAGTGCCCGAATCGAAATTTTGGCCCTCGTGTGAAATTTTCACAACACACTTCCACGAGTCTCGCTAGCATTCAACTAATGTCGCGGCGTTATTACACACGGTTGCGAGCCCATTGTTTCGCTCCTGCACTCGACTCGACGAATTTTGACGGATCTCTTATAAGAGGACGTAGCGAACAACAGGCAAAACGCCGAAGAATATTGAATTAAAAATGTAAACAGCGAGGGGAAGTTGATGCGAGCTCTCAAATTGAATTGTGCCCACCCTACATGCACCGGGTGGCGGCAGAAGCGATATAAAGTCGACTTTCGTTCCGGCTCCGTAAACCGCGAGTATATCCCCAGGACTTTTCCTTTATAATCGCGTTGGCTTTATCCGTTGTGGACCCTCGCGCCGCGGAAAGTCCACGAGCTACTTCCCGATTTACGCGAAACACGGAGGACAATTTTCGTAGAAAAAATCCGGCCATTTATTACGTGCAAATTTGCTCTCCCTCGCCCGGCGCACGGTTTACCGCGGAACTCGAGGCGTTCCACGCGGACTGGTAATAATGGAATAAACAATGGGGTCAATGATAATTGCGCCAATATTGTTCTCTCAAGGATAATTACGAATTTAATTGTGATCAACATTATTCGCACGGGTGATAATTCGTCGAATTATCCGCGATTTTCCAAGATGCGCGTGATGGCGCGAATTTCTCTTGTTTTTTTATTCTTTTCGAGATATACCCTTCGCAAGCGTTAATTCCTCCAAATGCGCATTTCGCGCGAGTTCTAAAAGAAGTCGCCGCCTTTTAGAGAAAACACGTAAACACGAAACATCGTGGGAGACGGGAATTCTTTATCCCGGCGAGAAGAGTCGAGTTCCCTCATCCTGGCTTTACTTCGTGAGCACCTTTGCCCTTCGCAAAGACCTGCCTGTTTATATGTTGCTGGCGAATAAATGTATGACTCACGCAATGTATGAAAACGATGTAGAAGATTACCGTAAACCCGATGGATTTCGCTGGATGGACAAGGAACGCGTATGGCGGTGCTTTTATAAAATGTGCGTCGTAAACGTAGGTTCATCTCGAGGAGAATAGGATATTTCGACGAACCGCGCGATCTAGAAACCTGTATTGAAAATGGTCCGGCCGTTTCGGCCGAGAGGTTTTTAGGATAATAAACTTTTTACGATAAAAACTGAGATACGTCGTAACTGGTTTCTTTCGCGTTTTAAGCCGCGAAAGATGAATAAAATTTCGTTGCGCCTGAATTAACATAATGTTCGAAAATGTGTGAGAGAAATTTTTAATTGCTCAAAATAAATCAGCATTTATCACATAAACAAGTATAATTCTATGGGTCGTTAACTCTTTCAGGTGACGCATATTTGAGTCATCTCTTTTATTTTCTTAATTACTTAATCGATTTTCATGAAACTTGGAACTTCGGATTTCTTTGTTCTTCTCGAATCTGAAGTCAGAATTGTAAATTTCAAAATGGTGGACCCAATATGATGGATCTAAATATTCGAATAGTGAAAAAATCGCTGCGTTAGTGAAAAATCGATTAGGCTGGCACGTAGTATCTAAGCGTGACTAAATTCAAATTTAACCTTAAAATTGCACTCCTTGACGGAGACAGCGAACACACCACTCCCTGATGTGCCGGTATCGGGTCGGGTCAGGATAGTAGTGAAGCGACTGAGATCCCCGGTCGGCAATCGAGAACACTTCGAGATGGCAGATGGCGAACGCATCGTCTCTTCCGCTAACAGGACCTTCCCGACGTGGTCTATAAACAGGCCTCTAGAAACCTTCACACATGGATTTCCGTAAGCAATAAGAGAGAATTCACACCTTGACGGAAAAGCAACAGCCAATCAGAACTCGTGCTGGTAGTAAGCAGTAGATAAAGCAGAGCTGCCTCCCGGCGCCATCTGCTCGCAAAATACGAAACTACTTTTTACTCAACCCAATAGTTACGAAGTCCCTGCTACGCATCCACACTTTCTTTACCGAAGAATCGAGGTCGTAGTACAACTTAATACGAGTCAGCCACGACTTTATTTTCCAAGTAGTATCATCCATCGATAGGTGAGGTATCCTCTTAAGCCGGCGACACACGATGCTTGTTTTCGCGCTGGATTGTTTGCTGGATGGAAATACTGCGTTTTGATTGGTGTACTGTCATCTATTTTTGGAAACGCGCCAGTCAGAACGCAGTATTTCTCACTAGCAAGCAATCCAGCACGAAAACAAGCATCGTGTGCAGCTGAGTTTAGACAGTTCAGACTTTTTGTCTTCATTTTTATCTATTATAACTCAATAGCGCACAATAAATATACGTGTCTAATACACAATGTATTTAAAGCGTCCTTGGTGGTGGTTTAATTCTTGATTATCGTCAATTCATAAAGTGTTTAAACGATATCACGTGCTCTGTACTCTTTCCGTTTTCCGCTTTTATACATAGGGTCCCCGCAATATTCCGCTATACTAATTAAAAATAACAGTTTCAAATTAACCATTTTTCTTGCAAAGTACACAGAAATAATATCATATTTTGTCCCGCACAATTTCGTATCTATTAAAATTCATTGGGCAAAATATTCCTACGTGAGGACAGATTGCCTCTCTTCGTCCGACGGCATCGATCCCGCGTTTTCGCGGGAAATTGCGAGCGGCGGTCTCGTCGCGTACGTTAACCTCTGCCGAGTACGGTTTCGCACGTTTTCTTCCCGAGAGACGAGCTCTGATATCGTTCGCTAACAATGTCGAGTCCCATGAGAGCACCGAGGACTCCTACACCGCAGGATGAAAATCAACCGGTGAACGGTACACCGAGACGACAGCTTCGGACCCCGACTTCCAACAGGACCCGCTCGATTGCTGGGACCCCTTCCACAAGCTCCGTGTCTACCAGACAAGGTGAAAGCGTGTTTCCTGCGGAACTCTTTCATCGGAAGCAAAATATGCTGCGTTTAAACTATTGACAATGCGGAAAAGAGAGAGTATTTGCTAATTAATCTGCTCTGGACAGGCACGCCTCAGAGACGATCGGGCAACAACCCAGTGGAGACTCCGTTGAGATGGGGCAATCGTCGTACACAGGAAACTATCGCGCCTTCGTCAGAGGGTCATTCCTCCGTGCCACTGTCTTCTCCGATTGGACTGACGCAGACCAGTCCCCTCGCCGCTGGCATGAGCGAGATAGAGCTGTCGTCTCCGTTGAATTACGGAACACCCAGCTCCCTGGCATCGGTTCGTACTCCCAGAAGCGGTATCAGGGGTACACCTCTGAGGCAGAGACCGGACATTCAGTCCGACAAGCGTATTCGACAGGTCAACTTGGCTGAGCCGGTGAGTTGAAGCACCCAGCGATTTTGCGACACGGATGCTGCGCCGGACTCGACCTGTTAACTCTGTCGACAGATACCGGAGGAACCGAACGCTCCGCGAACGTCGGAGAGCGAAAGCGGCCCGCAGTTGGTTATTTGGGGCACGAACGTCGTGGTGGATCAGTGCAAAGCTCAATTCAAGCGATTCATCCTGCGGTTCATCGACCCGGAAGCGGAGAACGACGAATTGCCGGAGAACATGAACCTGATGGATCCGCTGTACCTGCAGAAGCTGGAAGAGATACACACGCTGGAGGAGCCCTTCCTGAACGTGAACTGCGCCCATCTCGAGGCCTTCGACGAGCAGCTGTACACACGACTGGTCTGCTACCCGCAGGAGGTGATACCGGCCTTCGACATGACCGCGAACGAGATGTTCTTCGAGAAGTATCCCGCGGCGGTGCTGGATCATCAGATCCAAGTGCGGCCGTTCAACGTGACGAGGACGAGGAGCATGCGCCTACTGAACCCGGAGGACATTGATCAGCTGATCACGATCACGGGCATGGTAATTCGCACGTCGAACATCATGCCGGAGATGCGTGAGGCGTTCTTCAAGTGCATCGTCTGCTCGTTCACGACCACCGTGGAGATCGATCGGGGCCACATCGCCGAGCCCACGGTTTGCACGCACTGCAACAACAATTACTGCTTCAGCCTGATACACAACCGCAGCCACTTCTCCGACAAGCAGATGATCAAGCTGCAGGAGTCGCCGGACGACATGCCGGCCGGTCAGACGCCTCACACGGTGGTGCTGTTCGCCCACAACAATCTCGTCGACGCCGTGTCGCCGGGCGACCGGGTCTCCGTCACCGGTATATACCGTGCCCTGCCGCTGCGCGTCAATCCACGGCAGACCAACGTGCGAGCTATCTACAGGACGCACGTCGACGTCGTCCACTTCAGGAAGCAGGATTCGAAGCGGTGAGCAGCGCAACGAAGGAGAGCAATTAGACTCGGGAACTCGCAGGAACAGCGGGATTCCCGCAGAAGCTTCCTATTCGGCCGATCCTTCTCAGTTTTCTCAATAGAGTTTCAACACGGTTGTACGGGAAGAATGGCGCTTCCCGCAACTGAATAGGGGCCGGATGAAAATTCGCTGACACGAACCGATATCTCGGTTGCGACTGAAAAGATTTGCGCGAACATTCGGCCGCGTCAAAGTCGAGGCAACTGAAAGCTATTAGGAATTCTTTCCGATTTGCGTTATCAAAATTTCGTTTAATCTTTCTAATACCTGGTTTGACCATCGTTTCTCGTCCGTGACGCGCGAAATGTGCTGAAAGAGTTGTGAGATAATGATATTGTAGTCGTAACTGGCGAAAGTATTCGTGTTTGTTAGAATCATGAGACAGCTGAGAGTAATTGACTGAGTGGAAACCTCCTGCAGAAATCTTTCTCATCCTACAACCAAGTTTTTCGTCCGCTCCCCAGCCAACGAAGTTCAGTCGCATTAACGCAGTTGTTTTTCTTCGTTGGTATTTCCGATCCACGATAAGAAATATCGTTTCTCGCCACTCCGAGTTTAGTTGAATTCTTACTCAGCTTCTGCACCTGAACTGAAATATTTCCCCCCGTGTAATTTCACACGTTGTGTGGTGCTTCTGAATATTACGGAATCGTGTGGGTAACGCGTTTTGCTGGCTTTCAATCACATTTCCCTCCCACGCAGGCTATACGATCAAACGGAGGGTAAGGAACACACGTTCCCGCCGGAACGAGTGGAACTGCTGAAGCTGTTGTCGCAGAAGGAGGACGTGTACGAGCGCTTGGCGCGCCACATCGCTCCCAGCATCTACGAGAACGAGGACGTGAAGAAGGGGATATTGCTGCAACTATTCGGCGGCACGAAGAAGAAACAGAGCGAGTCGAGCAAGAAGCACTTCCGTTCCGAAATCAACATACTGCTGTGCGGAGACCCGGGCACGAGTAAATCGCAGCTGCTGCAGTTCGTGTTCAACTTGGTGCCGCGCTCACAGTACAGCAGCGGGAAAGGTAAATAACCGTTAGTGTTGACGAGCTCGAAATCCGATCTGCCATTCTGATGTTTTAGGCCTCCTAAAATGTGTGGAGAAATGCTCGATCTAATTTCCGGGTCGCCGTTTTTCACGCATATGTTTCTGATGTTCTTCATGAACATCTCAGTTCGCTTCTTCAGAACGAGGGGCAGTAATGCCTGTTTCTGCCATCACGGTTTAAATCTCGCCTAGTCGATTGAATCAACGGAATTGACCAATCACATCGGCATTGACTGAACCGATCAACGCGATCGGTCGATTCCGTAGGTCGTTGATTAATTAGATTAATTAGACCTTAGTGAGAGTCATTCTCTCGCAATGGCGATATTTCATCTGATATTTCATGTCCACGGATATGAGCTTAAAATATCAGATTAAATACCTTTCCATGGGGAGAGTATTCTTATTCTGTTCCTCGTCCTGAAAGAGATGGAACGATCGCGAAAGGTCGGAAGGAAATGCACGAGTGAAGGATGCGACGCTAACTTGGAAGCCAGGCCACTGATATGGCATCCTTTGTAATTCACGCGCACCTATTTGCTCAGGCTCCAGTGCCGTCGGTTTGACCGCTTTCGTAACGAAGGATCCGGAAACGCGTCAATTGGTATTGCAAACTGGCGCCTTGGTGCTCGCCGACAACGGCATTTGTTGCATCGACGAGTTCGACAAGATGAATGACAGCACGCGCTCGGTGCTGCACGAAGTTATGGAGCAACAGACGCTGAGCATCGCTAAGGCGGGCATCATCTGTCAGTTGAACGCGAGAACGAGCATCCTGGCGGCGGCCAACCCCTGCGAGTCGCAGTGGAATAAAAACAAGACGGTGGGTATCCGCGACAGGATCGGTACGTTAAGAAATAATTCGAAACGGCTGCATACTCTTTCCTTCGATGCAGTTCCAAACACAGCCGACGGTCCAACGAGAGAACTTAAGGAGGCTCGAACGTTTGACTAAATACAAAATAAACTTATAATGTAAACGAGCTACGACGGAACCTACAAGGGAAATTAATTGAACTAAGTAACGGGAAAACGGGGATTTCGACCTTCGTTTTCGAGATAATTATAAGCTCGTACTCGTGCAAGTGTGTATAGAAATTTCATAATACAACGCGTTTTTTCTGATTTAACATATTTGTATATAAGGTAGAAGTTTAAAAAAACTATCTGATAAAATAATAATAAAATGGACATTTAAATGTATTTTGAAGTATAAATAAAATATCCGTGTGAATTTACCATTTAATTGAGGAGAAACTTAGACCTTTCGATGAGAATATTCGTGAAATCGAACAATATATGAGAAAAATTAAACTAGTCATTCGTCAAATACAATAACGGATACATTTCATATTCATTTCTCTTTTCTTGCTATCGTTACTCGCATCAAGCGAGAGTCGTACAGCCTTTTTGTCATTTTTTTAAATGTTCGATAACTTTTGGTTACAAAAACTGATGACACATAACACTTTCACCCATCCACATTTGTTCCCCATTTGTTCGTTTTAGGTGATAGAGAATGTCATGCTACCGCACACGCTAATGTCGCGTTTCGATTTGATCTTCCTCATGCTGGACCCGCAGGATGAAGTGTTCGACAGGAAGCTCGCCAGGCACCTGGTGTCGCTTTATTACAAATCCGACCTGGAGGAGGAAGATGACATCGTGGACATGAGCATCCTGCGCGATTACATTGTTTACGCCAAGGAGCACGTGAATCCCGTACTCAACGAGGATTGTCAACAAAGGTTGATCCAAGCCTACGTGGATATGCGCAAGGTGGGAAGTGGTTATGGGCAGATCACGGCTTACCCGAGACAACTGGAGTCGCTGATACGGCTCGCCGAGGCGCACGCCAAGATGCGATTCAGCAACGTGGTGGAGATCGTGGACGTTGAAGAAGCGTGGAGGTGAGCGGGCAGCATGGATAAGCGTTGGAAAGCGAGATCTCGCCCGTTTACAACGCAAATCGCGAAGTTCAGTACGCCTTAACATTCGTGTAATGTGCGCCATCTTGCATCACCAGGTTACATCGAGAGGCGTTGAAGCAATCCGCTATCGACCCGCTGAGCGGCAAGATCGACATCAGCATTCTTACGACCGGCATGTCCTTAGCGGCGAGAAAACGCAGGCAGGAACTGGTCGAGGCGCTAAAGAAACTCATTAAGAACAAGGATAAGTCATCGAGTCTAAATTATCAAAAGATTTTCACGGAGTTGAAGGAATCGTCCAGCGTGGTGAGTTTACTTTGCTTCCATTTCTCTGCCATTTCGTTTATCGCGTTAAATTAATTTAATTTATTACTATCGTTTGTTACGTATTACTTGTTGTGATTTATTTTTACCTTTAATTTTCGTTATCGGAATTGTTTAATCATTCATTTTAGTTGGTGACGCGTGAAATGTTCGAAGATGCTCTGAAAGAGCTGCAGGATAATGGTGTTGTGGTCGTAACCGGCAAAAATACTATTCGTGTTTGTTAAAATTGTCCACGTTTTGTTCGAATTGTGCGCCTTTCCATCGAATTTTAAAGTCATTCCGAAATTTGCTGGCACAAATTACGCGTGCAACGGTAAAACAGAGGTTTTAGTAACCGACAGTTATAAAGAAATTCGATTTAGATAGGATATTGCGAATGTTACTTTTATCCTTAAACCAGTTTCCAGAATGCAATTTTTGTGTTTAGCAGCGCAACGTATAAAGTACATTCAAAATCCGACTGACACGCGCTTCTTCATACGCTAAATATTTTTAGCATTTGACATTGGATCCACTTTTTTACGATATAATATTTTGTTACCGTGTGAAAAGATCTGCTATCCGTCGCAGAATCTTTTGGTGTCGAGAATAAGTATTAGCTTGCCAGTGGTCAGAATCATCGGAGGAATATATTAATTTGTATTTTTTTAAATAAATAATTTGTAACATGTTTTTACACTCAATTGTCGTTTCCTCTTTAAATCTCTTCTTCTTTCAGTTTCCATACATTTATCCCTGCTCTATACCACTTTATCTCGTTCATCATGAGTTCACCGTTAAGTGAAGTAAAACAGAGTAGCGCATCCGAAAATCCATCGCACTCACATTTACATCACATTTATATGCTTACATTTATGCAAGATCCACATGTGCCAGAAATACGAAGAGAATAGCGTGTCGTCAGTGTTTATGTAACAGTTTGAGGATCGTCTCTGCGTTATCGATGTTTATCGAGTTCATCATCTCCTTTGGTAAATCCCTTCAGAATCCCGTAGGGATTTCAGGACTCAACACTTATCACGATAGACGCCACAGATCAAACGGCAGGGACCTTTGTGCTCCGTTTAATTTTGCGGACAGAGTTCGTTCCGCATTTTAGCTTCCGTCCTTCTTATTTTTGCGCTCTGCTATTCTCGCGTGGAAGAAGAACGAGAGGATCTTACTTTAGTAATCGAGTGCCGGTTTACCACGATTTCTCGCAATTACTAGATTCCACGCTATTAATTACGCAAGACGTAATGTCTACAATTATTATCACGGAGAGAAAGAAATACAGACTGTGCTCTGTATTCGCATCTGTTTTCCCGGCATTCGTTGCATAATCATTGTTCTTACCGGAAGGGGATAAAAGAAAATTGAAATTTTGCGCTACCGTGGTCGTTAGGAGGGAAGAACAGGCGAGTCGCGATCCTTCGTCTTACAGCGCGTTACACAAGCCGCGGTTCCGGAAGATTCCGGGAGGGGATTCGCTCCTCGCATCGCCAATGGGATTAACTGGCAAGGACGGAACGATGTAACGCGAGTGATACGCATCATCCGCGAATATTCTCGCGCACGGTCCGGCAAAGAGAAAAGGATAATGAGAGTTTAGGCGGTGGAAATATTGGAAATCGGATTACTGATCGGGAGAGCCGATCGAAGCGTGCTCCCCTCCCCTCCCTCCTCTCCCGGGGACGCTCCTGTCGCGATATTCGACGTATAATGTTACTGCGTCTCGACATTTGCATGTATTCTTAATACCACGCTCTCTCGATGCGCGTTACATCGCTCGCATCCATTATTCATGTGTGTATATAAATTATTGCCGCTCGCAAACGATTCGTAAATGCCTCCCGGGTCGCATCGGGGATGTCGCTTCGATAACGCGGCCGTGTAACGTCCGTTGCGGCATGAGTTCCATCCAATTCAGCCGTTCGTTGCGCTGTTCCGCGAACGACGTAATCATTACTCTCTCTCTCTCTCTCTTTCTCTCTCTCTCTCATCGATTTCTCGGCCCGGCATTCGCGTCGAGAAGTACAGTCGATATCGCGCACGACCCCTCTCTGTCTCTCTTTCCGCTGTAATTTCACGGGGTGGTCATACGATGATTAATCGCCCCCGTCATCGTCGGCGGTCTGAAACGTCTTGTAGAGCCGGGCTGTAGCCCGCATACACCGTCATCCTCTCTCACGCCTACGCCTCGTGCGCGGGCGTCGCGACGGAGGCGTCGTACTACGTAGTTTCGCTCTTGCGATGACCTTGGAAACTCCCACGCTGCCGGAGCGCGCCGGGTCCCGGCGGTGGGGGACATTCGTTCATCGACGTCCCACCACCGCGCGCACACCCACGCAAAGAGCGGTGATCTTCACCCACCCCCTCCGAATCCCGATGGCCGGCTCGATGCTCGCGTACGTGAGCGCACTGACTACGCAGGAGACGCCGGGTATCCTCGAATTATCGTGCCCGGGGGTTGCGTACGTCGTGCGATCCAATTGGCCGGCGGAGATCGCTCGCTTTCTACGGAGCTGCGCTAATTAATCCGACGCCCGAGCTAAATCGGCCCGCTGAATTACGTTAATGCGGTTTTCATTTATAACCCGGCTCTCTCTCCCTCCCTCTCTTTCTATTTCTCTCTCTCTCTCTCTCTCACTCTCGCTTACTTCGTCTCGGTTACGGAATCACGTGGATGGAAAAATGGACCGATAAGTGGCCGATATTGGTTATTCGTGCGTAACAACGAGAAAATAAAGCTCTCGTAAAATGAATCGGGTAATTAATTGCTAGTTAATTACACGTGCACGTTCCGGCGTGTTTCGCGCCCTCTCGATGCGTTATTCTTGATATTTTACGAATACCCCGGTTTCGTTTTGTTATTACGTTATGTTGTAACGTGCGTACAATCGCGATTCTGGGCTTTTATCGACCCACCCACGCTCACCCATCCGTTCAAAGTGCGTTAATTTTGCGTCAGGAAATTCGATGTCAAAGACACGAGAGATAGCCGCGGGAAATCTAATGAAAAAGGGATATGAAAGATCCCTCCGTATCCGAAGGGGTCGCGCACGCTATCGGGGATCAATTTTATTTACAATTCTCTCACCAATTTGGAATCGATGTCTCCTGAAAAAGCAAAAATGTCGAGGGATCGATAATTGTGTCAGGTTACGGGCAATTGAAGGCGAAGAATTGTTCGGGACCACCAAAGGGCGCGCCGGTAGACAGTAGCTCCTTTTCCGTATTTAATTACGCGAATTGCCTCCGACAGACGCGTAATGCGTTCGAGTTTTCAGCCAGATAATTATCGGGAATTAAATTTTCGTCGGATCTTCCCATCCGTTTATTCGTCCCTGATCAATTCTGGCTGAGCACGGCTCAGATCAGATTAGCAGTCCGCTTCGCTTTCGTGACGGATGCCTCGCGCTTTTCCGCACGTATCCGACTCGGTTCCCCTAGTTTAGATTAATCCGCGGGCTGGAGGAATCGCGAGAGGAATCCTTAATAAGTGGACAACCTTTTCCTCGCCCGATAGATATTAACGCTCGTCAAATTAACTGTAATCTAGGGTACGAAATTAATCCGGCTGTGTCCTGTGCGCGCAGGCGATTTGTCTCGGAATTTCTCCTCGCGATTCTTTTCCGCTTGCAGCTGAAACTGAGAGCGATTTCGATATTGGCGGAAGAATTCTTACAAGTTTCATCCCACTCATCTCTGTGTGTCTCACACACATTCCGAAACCTGTGATATATACATGATAGAAAAGTTAATCGGACTGACGTTGCGCGAGAGAAATTTCGGTAATCTCTACCGAGATATTTAATTACGAATTTATGTAAAAATTGCAAAAAACTTTCTGTACATCACCAGTGGTATCCTTTTAGAGTAAAATTATTCCATGTAATCACCTTTTGCTTCGATGACTGCTTCGATCCTCGTCCTCTGCGACGCGTCCATATTGGCGGATGCCGCCTCGATAGCGGCTTGGAAAGATGTCACGTTGGGACGTCTCGACTTGTTGGTCACTCAATGACGCTCCACACGTAGTAGTCCAACGGATTCAAATCTGGACTGTTCGGAGGCCAGGATTCCTTGGACCGAAACATGTCCACATTATCCGACAGCCAGTTTTGAACTACATGACTTGTGTGCGCCGGCGCGCCGTCCTGCCGGAAGACGTGCGGCCACCGTATCTATCCACGGCTTCACCATCCTCGTCAAAACGCGTAAATAAACCTCTTTTGTGACGGTTTCTTTCTTTTGAAAGAAATGTGGCGGCATGACGTGACCCTCACTGGAGACGACGCCTAGGACGTGAACAGAGGCCGGAAACTTCGTCCTAGCTATTATATTTAGCCGCAACATCATATACGGTCGATCTTGGGTACCCGAAAAACCGAATAATTTCGGTTCGCGAACATCCAGCGCGAAGACCTTCGATTATCGCCGCTTTTCGTTTATACTCCGCACTCGATCTTATTCGCTCGAACATTTTGAGGTTATGCACGCTTACTACAAACATCTGACTTGTCCGAACGTCAACAACGACCTACCGTCGAAGTCAAATGAGGCGGGAAATTCAAATTTAAATTTGTCCGGATTTTACTGGACGGACCCTGTACATGTAAGCATATATTTAAATATTTGTTTCTATTATCTGTGCATCTCTGTAGACCGACTGATGCATGATATAGCGTTAATAATGTGGCATTAATAAGAAAAATAATAATACTTTCATATTAGCAATATTGCGTATATATATTTACCTCAGCTTCGTTTCAAATTGACACTTATTATTTTATTAGCCACACGAATCTATAGAAGAGAAATTTTGCTGGATAAATACGAAATCTGGCATGAAATAATAAATGAGAGGCTGCCTTGATGCGCCACCGGAAATACGGCACTTAGCGCTAGAATCTCCCTAAACGCTGCAAAATAGTTTTCTAAACTACACACATTAATTCCACGCAATGTGCATCGATATTACATAAGTAACAACTATACCAAACCCGCACAGTTGTCGGCCATTTGCTGGCAAATTTTTCCCCGAGTGTGTCGTACGCGTGTCGACGCATTCACGGTGTAATTATCCCGCTCTCCCCTTATTTTCGCGCTTCGCCGGTGCGGTATCGAGCGCATTTTTCGCCGAGTTCGAATATCAAATTCAGCCTCCCCTCTAATTATTATTGCCAATTGCGCGTGACGTGTCCCGTGACTGTTTGCGCGAGACCACCGTCATCGTCGTGTGCGTACGTATGCGAGCAATGTCATGTGTTATTCGGCCCCGTAGCCTCGCACACGTGTCCACACACCCGCATCGTCATCTATGAACGACCGGCCGGCCCGTATTAACCGATACAGTTGCGCGCATGCACGTACGCTCCCACGTGTGCGCGCACAGGAGGGTCGACGAGCAGGCGGGAGGGAGAAAATGGAATCGTACATGTATACATTAGGGGGCGGACGAGGGTGAATCTCGCGAGAGCAAGCGGGAGAGACAGAGAGAGAGGGTGGGAGGGGAAGAGGATCAGAAAGAGAAATCGTGAACGTGGTGGAGGGAAGGAAAGAAAGGAGACAGCGGTATAGAGAGAGAGAGAGAGAGAGAACGGGGGCGCGCTCGATCGTTAAAGCGCCACGACGCCCCACCGCGTGATCCCTCACGCCCAAGCCGCCCATTCATAAAGTTGCAGCCGCTAATTCTTAGCATCTCGTTCAACGTTTTCCCAGCATCACGCGACACGAGCCGCGCAAGTGCGGATCTCGCGGATCCCTTTTTTCCCGTGGCGTGACGCTTGACCGTTTCGTCCGGACATTTCGCCCTCGTCCTGTCCCTTTTCGTTTATGCCTTGTTTAGGGAGTTTCCCCGAGTTTCGAGGGGGAGGGCTGCGAGAGAGACGAGATGTTTCAGGGCGCGGAGGCGAGCGAAATTTCGCCGTATCGTACGGAGACGAAGAGCGGGCGAGGGGGAAATGTGCCACGGGGATGTGAGGGGCGGCTGGGGCGCTTTAAAGGTACTCCCTTACAACTGGTCCGACGCCGACAATGTCGGGAAAAGTCTCGTCTCGCTAGACACCGGCGAGACCCCGGCGTGAATTCCGTAAGGGAACAGCCGTAGGATTTCGCCCCGATGACTCGTTACTTTTCCACGAGATATCTTACGGGAGGACCGATGCGTCGCATGAACATCGGTAAAAGTCGGATTCAGATTATGGAGCTGAGGAAAGATATGTTCAAACACTTGTAACTGTAATCATCATAGTCGGAGAATTATAGTCGGAAGAGCCGTTTTTCTAGTAAATATTTCCTACGGTGTCAACGAATAACCTTACACGCGTACTGTTACTACTATCTTTATAATGAAAGAAAAAAAATGTAACGAAGGTACAGTTGAGGGCGAAAATAATTTCTCTATTTATATTTAATCAATCCGTAAATTACACGGGGAAGTATCATTCGCCAGCGGAGCGAATCGTTATGCTGTCGCAACAAAATCTGCCCGTTACTGTGTTACGGACGGCGAAACGATTTGTCAAGAACATTTCATTTCTGATCACGCCAATTCGATCGCTGTCGCAGAAACGTGTCGCCGCAGCGAAATTATTTCTTGCGTGTGGGAAATCTTTTCGGCCCCGCTATATCAACAAATAATTCGTTGTTCCGGCAGAACTTTTCCTCTCCGTATACGTGACGACGGTTCTCGATCTAATCGTTCCCTCATTATCCTCGAAGACACGATCATTGCGGATCGCCGACGAGAGCGAAAATCCGCGAGGATCCCACGGTGGTCGCGAGATATCCTAGAGAAAGCCCCGTATCATCGTCCCCAGACTCGTTTCCGTGAAACGCCGATGATCCGTGACGAGTCGGCGACGACGTGACGTGCCGCTCGACTCATGACGTACCCGGCCAAGTGGACTGACCTGACGCGAAGCGGCGCGACTCCTCCGGTCATCCAACACCTGTTCACCGAGATGAAACCTGATTTATCCGATCGATCGCGGCGCGGCTTGAAGGTCGTCGTCGTCATCGTCGTCCTCGCCGGATGAGGGGGTGCGACGAGGGTTGGGAGGAGGCGGGGAGAGAAGGGAGTTGCCGCAGTGTTCCGTGCGAGCAAATAAAAGTCCGCTCTCTCTCTCTCTCTCTCGCCGTCGCGTGTATACCTATATAACAACCGAGCGGTTCTCGCATTGAACGGGCGCCTCCATTCATGCTTTCCGGGCGCAGGCGCTCGCCCGTTCGCGAAACCGCATGGCGCTCTGCCCCGGGAAGGGGTTCGCGAAGTCACCTACGCGAGAGAAGGCCCCGGCACGATACGTGGGCGACGTGGGTGATTCAGAGGAAGAGCCGGAGGTAGGGCGGAGAATGAGAGAGAAGGAGTGAGGGAGGGAGAGCTCCGTTCCTCGCGCGCCGGCTCGGTTCGGCTCGACTCGGGCCTCGACTCGCCCCCCGAGAAAGGGTGGCTTGTAAAAAAACGCGAGGACTCAATCCGCGTACGATCCTCGCCGTGACCGTTCCTCGCCGCGTGCTGTTCCGGGCTTTCGCCGAGCGACTCGTTCGCCGACGACGACGACGACGACGACCGAGCACGTCGAGGGAGACTGAGAGTTACTTCCCTCCGGATGGTCCTCGAGACACGAGGAGGCCCTTCGCGGTGCCAGTCGCTCCGGACAGCTCGCACACGCGTGGATTAGCCGCATCCCCGGCTCACCCGAGACACCTACCCTCGCCAGTCTCGTCCTCCGATCGGTACGTACGACTAGAATCTTCTCGGTTACGGTGATAGTGTAACGCACGGCGCGTCGGCGAATATATCTCGAGAGCGAATCACACACGGGGAGGGGGAGGCATCGTCGCACCACGTTGCAAAGCCGGCACCGATCGCGCGTGTTTCGCGCTTCTTTCCACGCGCATCCCTCGATCGTTGCTTCGTGCTTTCCCACATGGCGGAGCGAGCGAATCTGCGCCGAGAAATCCGCCGTGGATTTCCGTCGGAGCAGGGCGCGTCGACCTCGTGGAGGACCACCGGCGGAACGTAGGACGCGTATCGCGCTTCCGTTACGATGATCACCCATGCGCGGGGAATACGATTTGTCCTTGAGCATATCCCGGCTCGGTGACACCGACGGTGAGAGTCGGCGTGGTGCGGCGTTAAATTCACCGGGGCACTTTTCATTCATGAGAATATTTGTCGCGCACCCCCC